ATAAAGAATAAAACAAATAAATATAAATGAAAATTAAATTCTTTTCAATAAATTTCTTAGTACTTTATGCATTGAAATAAAATACGAAAAAAATATTAGTAGAAATTCTGAATAAAATTAAAATATATTTTTGGTATGAATCTAAGATAAACAAATATAAAGAATAAAACAAATAAATATAAATGAAAATTAAATTCTTTTCAATAAATTTCTTAGTACTTTATGCATTGAAATAAAATACGAAAAAATATTAGTAGAAATTCTGAATAAAATTAAAATATATTTTTGGTATGAATCTAAGATAAACAAATATAAAGAATAAAACAAATAAATATAAATGAAAATTAAATTCTTTTCAATAAATTTCTTAGTACTTTATGCATTGAAATAAAATACGAAAAAATATTAATAGAAATTCTGAATAAAATTAAAATGTATTTTTGGTATGAATCTAAGATAAACAAATATAAAGAATAAAACAAATAAATATAAATGAAAAATAAATTCTTTTCAATAACTTTCTTAGTACTTTATGCATTGAAATAAAATACGAAAAAATATTAATAGAAATTCTGAATAAAATTAAAATGTATTTTTGGTATGAATCTAAGATAAACAAATATAAAGAATAAAACAAATAAATATAAATGAAAATTAAATTCTTTTCAATAAATTTCTTAATATTTTATGCATTGAAATAAAATACGAAAAAATATTAGTAGAAATTCTGAATATAATTAAAATGTATTTTTGGTATGAATCTAAGATAAACAAATATAAAGAATAAAACAAATAAATATAAATGAAAATTAAATTCTTTTCAATAAATTTCTTAGTACTTTATGCATTGAAATAAAATACGAAAAAATATTAATAGAAATTCTGAATAAAATTAAAATGTATTTTTGGTATGAATCTAAGATAAACAAATATAAAGAATAAAACAAATAAATATAAATGAAAATTAAATTCTTTTCAATAACTTTCTTAGTACTTTATGCATTGAAATAAAATACGAAAAATATTAATAGAAATTCTGAATAAAATTAAAATGTATTTTTTGGTATGAATCTAAGATAAACAAATATAAAGAATAAAACAAATAAATATAAATGAAAATTAAATTCTTTTCAATAAATTTCTTAATATTTTATGCATTGAAATAAAATACGAAAAAATATTAGTAGAAATTCTGAATATAATTAAAATGTATTTTTTTGGTATGAATCTAAGATAAACAAATATAAAGAATAAAACAAATAAATATAAATGAAAATTAAATTCTTTTCAATAAATTTCTTAATATTTTATGCATTGAAATAAAATACGAAAAAATATTAGTAGAAATTCTGAATATAATTAAAATGTATTTTGGTATGAATCTAAGATAAACAAATATAAAGAATAAAACAAATAAATATAAATGAAAATTAAATTCTTTTCAATAACTTTCTTAGTACTTTATGCATTGAAATAAAATACGAAAAAATATTAATAGAAATTCTGAATAAAATTAAAATGTATTTTTGGTATGAATCTAAGATAAACAAATATAAAGAATAAAACAAATAAATATAAATGAAAATTAAATTCTTTTCAATAAATTTCTTAATATTTTATGCATTGAAATAAAATACGAAAAATATTAGTAGAAATTCTGAATATAATTAAAATGTATTTTTGGTATGAATCTAAGATAAACAAATATAAAGAATAAAACAAATAAATATAAATGAAAATTAAATTCTTTTCAATAACTTTCTTAGTACTTTATGCATTGAAATAAAATACGAAAAAATATTAATAGAAATTCTGAATAAAATTAAAATGTATTTTTGGTATGAATCTAAGATAAACAAATATAAAGAATAAAACAAATAAATATAAATGAAAATTAAATTCTTTTCAATAACTTTCTTAGTACTTTATGCATTGAAATAAAATACGAAAAATATTAATAGAAATTCTGAATAAAATTAAAATGTATTTTTGGTATGAATCTAAGATAAACAAATATAAAGAATAAAACAAATAAATATAAATGAAAATTAAATTCTTTTCAATAAATTTCTTAATATTTTATGCATTGAAATAAAATACGAAAAAATATTAGTAGAAATTCTGAATATAATTAAAATGTATTTTTGGTATGAATCTAAGATAAACAAATATAAAGAATAAAACAAATAAATATAAATGAAAATTAAATTCTTTTCAATAAATTTCTTAATATTTTATGCATTGAAATAAAATAAGTAAAAATATTAGTAGAAATTCTGAATAAAATAAAAAATTATCAATATTATTTTCAAGTTGAAACAAAATTATGATATATATCATTATGATTAATTGATTAATGTTTCAAATTTGATTTATATTTTATAATAGCTAAATTAACATATAAGATTGGGCCTGAATTGCCAAGTATCTAGCCTTCGGTGCCACAGGTTTCGGGTACGAGTCCCGGCAGTGCCATGGATGTTTGTAATGGTTCGAAATTCATTTTAAACCGTAGTTCCCTGTCTCATAGGGTCGTAGAGCGTTGTCTTGAGGTTGAGTCAGTCTTCAGCTCTCGTGGTTCCTCGTTAAAGTAAAGCTGCATATTGTCCTTAGACAGGGACATGTCGCCTGCGAAAGGGTCTCTTGGACCTTTGGTAGGTGTTCGATAGCTCAATAATACAAAACATACTCATATAAAACTCATATAATATTCGACACAGTGGACTGTAAGTAAATAAATTTCCTTATTTTAGGCAGTCATCAAACTCGAAGATGAACTGACCACACAACCTCTCTCTGGGGTTACACTTTTAATTATGCAACCATCATGCTCGAAGATGCACTGCTACACGACCTCTCTCTTTGGTCGCAGTTGCTCAACTCCCATTACTTACATTCTTTCTCTCTCTCCCTGGCCCTCACCCCCCGCCAGACACCCCCACAGACAGAGTGTTTTTCTGGACATAGGGCGTTGACCTCCTCTAAGCAGGGGAACCTGGGTTTCGACGTAACAGTAGGCTTTCCTGCACCAGGGGGATTAGTAACAACAGATAAGATACTCGGTTAGACCTAAATGCACTTTATAAGTGAGAAAATAGTGATTGTAGAGCATGTTAGCATGCTATGTATAGTTGAATGTTAAATTGTTTGTCAGTGTTGCAACAATAGTTTTCGTTTAAGTTTAAGATTTGTCAATTAATTTAATCAATACAATTAATGTGCACTTTTATATTATTTCTTGTACATTTAGATTAAAAAGATCAACAAAAATAAAGCAAAAATCTTAGCATAGTATCATATGAATTCTATTATTATTAATTATTATTAATAAAAGTTAAATAAATATTTAAAAAAATAATATTATATGATATTTTAATAATTTTTTTTTATAGATAATAAATTTAATTTTTGATGTTTAATTTTTTACTTTCAATAGTATATAATATGTTTAGTAAATGAAATTATTAAAACTGTTACATAGATTTATTATTTATTTTTAATTCTGTTCGATAGCTCACTAACACAAAACAAATTCCAATAAATACTCGGCAGAGTGGACTGTATGTAAATAAAACTCCTTTATTTTGGCAGCCATCAAACTCGAAGATGAACTGGCCACACAACCTCTCTCTGGGGTTACACTTATTGAACTCATTTATTTACGCAGCCATCGCACTCATGGATGGACTGCCACACGCAACCTTTCTCGTTGATTACAGAAGTTTAACTCTCTTATTTATGCAGCCATCGCGCTCGAGGATCGACTGCCACACAACCATTCTCTTTGCTCGCTGAGATTCAACTCATTTTACTTACATTCCTTCTTTCTCTCCCTGGCCCTCACCCCCGCCAGACACCCCCACAGACAGGGTGTTTTTCTGGGCATAGGACGTTGACCTCCCCTAAGCAGGGGGACCTGGGTTTCGACGTAACAAATTCTTTAAATGAAATTAAATCTTCTTTTCTTTATTTATGATTTTAGATGTCTGAAAAACAAAACAGCTACCACGCTATTTTTATTTATTTATGTTTTTTTTTTTTTTTTTTACTTGAGTTAAAAAAATCTATGGCAATACCTTAACTCTTGATGATGCTTGAATGATTTACTTACTACAAATCTCAAATTTTTCACACACAATCATCCCAAACATTGATAACGAGCTGCTTAAACGACTCCCAGAATATGATATAAACAATCCGAAGAACTCCAAACGCCCGCGAACCTCACTGCTAATTAGCTGACATGTTTATTATCCCCGCGCTCAAGTTTTCGAGTTTTTTTTTTATTTCATCCACAGAATGTTTTCTCCCAACAACGCTGACCTAGATTCATATGCTGACTCTTTTCCCAGTTCGCTCACCGTTCTCTTAGTTTATTGTTTTTTATCAATGTTTCCCTTTTTACTTTTCGTCTTTGTTTGTTATTTCAGTATTAATAATTTTAATGACTATATATAAAAGAAAGAAATAATAATATTAAAAACCTCCTCTCTTTTTTTTTTTTTTTTTTTTTTTTTTTTTTATTTATTTTTATTTATTTATTTTTTTTTATCTTTTATTGGGCAAGCTCTCCATTTAGTCTTACCATTTTCTACTCAGCAATGTGTTCTTCATTCTTCAAAGGACTTGGCTTCGCAGCCAAGGAGCTCCACGAAATACAAATCATATATACACACACAATCAAATTCTTATTATTCAATTCAATTCAATTTTATTGAAACTAAATTTTATTAAAAAATAAATGTTATTAAAATTAAATTTTATTATTTATTTCAAAATTCAATTTTATTCTTATGCTCAAAATTCGATTTTATTACATTGCTATTTATTCTTTGGCGGCTTGATGTTAGTTATTTACAATTTATATTATTTTATTTTATTTTATTATTTATAATATTTTACTTTACAATGTTAACAATTTATAAATATTTATATATATTTAATATATATAACAATTTATATATATTTTTTTATTTTACAATGTTAACAATTTATAGCCAACGGCCATACCATGCTGAATATACCGGTTCTCGTTAGATCACCGAAGTCAAGCATCATTGGGCGCGGTCAGTACTTGGGTGGGTGACCACCTGGGAACACCGCGTGCCGACGGCATTCGCAAATTTGGGACCTGAATGGCCGAGTGTCTAGCGCTCTGGCGCTCAGTGCCACAAGTTTCGGGTTCGAATCCCGGCAGTGCCATGGATGTTTGTAGTGGTTCGGAATCCACTTTAAGCCTTAGGTCCCGGTCTCCTATGACCGTAAGAGCGTCACGGAGCAAAAGTCAGGCTTCTACCTACGGGTGCTCCATCACAACAGAAGCTGCTTCCTTCCCCTTCAATTATGGGCACGTATGGGCTCGTGGGCTTGGCCAGCCAAGTGGGATAAGAAACAACAACTATGTATTATTTATTTATTTATGTTTTTTTACTTTATTTAAAAAAAAAATCTATGGCAATAATATTTTTATAGAATGATTTGCTTAAAATTACTAGAAACTAAATTTCATTTTCCATCCGAGTTCTACAGATCTCACGTAATAGATCTGCAGATCTCGTTATAGTTATTATTATTATTTTTTTTACATGCAACTTTTAATTTCATCAACATCTTTACTTTTGAAATTTTTGTTAATTTTTAATTTTATTAAATAAATAAATATTTTTTTTAAAAAAAAGGGCATTTAATTATCCATTTTGGTACTTACGTATTAACGGTACCTTGGCGACAGACTTGGCGGTTTTTAAGTGTCGCCAATCTTTATTATTTGGAATAAAAATATTTTGAAAGCGTTTTGATTTTAAATGAAGCGTTTCATATATATTTTATTATTTGGAACAAAAATTTTAAATGTAGATTGGCGCCAAATCTGTAGCTGCGGTTGGCGCGTGTGCTCTTTATTGGCGCAACTGTCGCCAACGTACCGTTAATACGTAAGTACCTCTATTTTTCTTATTAACTCAAAGGGCATGAGACCACCGCTCTGTTTCAACATTCTACAGTGAAGGTACGCGGCCAAGGATCTCCATGTTAATCTACAATAAGAGAGATCTCGTTATATAAGTAATCAAAATTCTTTTTATTTTATTACGCTGCTAATTTTTATACACTACATATTATGTCGTTGCCATTCCAAACATATTTTACATAAATTAATTAAAATAATAAACAATATGCAATGATTTTGAGCTCTTATTGTAGATTAATACGGAGATCCGTGGCCGCGTAGCGGTCTCTAGCTCCTTCATTGTCAGATGTTGAAACATAGCGGTGGTCTCATGTTTTTTGAGTTAATAAGAAAAATAGATAATTAAATGCCCTTTTTAAAAAAAAGATTTATTTATTTAATAAAATTATAAAATGAAAAATTAAAAAAAATTTTTTTTTTTTTTTTTTTTGGAAAAAAAAAAAAAAAAAAAAAAAAATTCGAAAAAAAATTTTGAAGGGGGAAAAAAAAAAAAAAAATTTGAGTGTAGATGTTGATGAAATCAGTTGCTCTTTCATTGTCAGATGTTGAAACATTGGGGTGGCCTCATGGCCTTTGAGTTAATAAGAAAAATAGATAATTAAATGCCCTTTTTTAAAAAGATATATTTATTTAATAAAATTATAAAATGAAAAATAAAAAAAAAAAAAATTTTTTTGAAAAAAAAAAAAAAAAAAAAAAAAAAAAAAAAAAAATTTGAAAAAAAAAAAAAAAAAAAAATTGAGTGTAGATGTTGGTGAAATCAGTTGCTCTTTCATTGTCAGATGTTGAAACATTGCGGTGGCCTCATGGCCTTTGAGTTAATAAGCAAAATAGATAATTAAATGCCCTTTTTATAAAAAAAGATTTATTTATTTAATAAAATTATAAAATGAAAAAGAAAAAAGAAAAAAAATTTTGAAAAAAAAAAAAAAAAAAAAAATTTGTGTGTAGATGTTGATGAAATCAGTTGCATGTAATCAAAAAAATAAAACAGAATGAATGAGCGAAGATTTTTTTTTCCAATGACAAGGCAAGTACAAGTAAAATAAAAATACTAGTAACAAGGGAAAAATTACAAAAGAATAAACGTCCAAAAAATATAAAGATGACCGAAGTGATTGCCGTAAGAATTCTCTCGCACGCCAGTAAAGCGATGTCGCCGTCAAGTACCGCACATCGTTGGAGGTGGTCTCTGTTCATTGGGTATGTTGTACCACATAGGGGGCAGCCAGGGTTCGAAAAGATTTTAATGCGATGGAGATGTTCTGCTAGACAGTCATGGCCAGTCAGAACTGGGCGACAGCATTGCTGGGTATTGCTAAAAGATCTTCAGCTCTCCAACGCTTTGACTTAATCCCATCTTGAGTTTGTAACTTGTGGTTTTTAGTCATTATTTGTTTGATATATAACTTTATAGAATGGAGTGATGAGCAAAGGTCAAATTAGGAGAAAAAAGAGCTTCACAATAAATCAGTCAAAGTTGTGAGTAATAAATCTGTCAAAGCAGGAGAAGAGAATAAACAGAGGAGCAATGAGTGGGCGTAGCGCAATTGAAAGGAGAAAATCGTCAGCATAAGGAATTAATTTAAAATATTTAGAACAGTGCGAGGTCTTTTGCTATGTTTGCGAGAAGGAATATCACAATCGTAATTTTGTAGGACATTTAAAACGGGGTTATGGATGTTTCGCATATCATTATGGAATTGAGTAGAAATTTTGTGAACAAATTGTCTTAAACTTGGAATCGAGAGAGCGCGCCAAATATCGTCATTACGAAAGTTTTTTTTTTCCCCAATGCAGCTGGCAAACAGACATGGACGTCTTGGATGCCTTAAGGCAAGCGCTGCACAGACGTTACTCACTTTGCATTACCCGGGGGGCGCGTGTAACTTTGAAGATAAGCCACGGATGCGGAGTAACAATGCCCCCGCAACGCTCTACAATCCTATTAGACCGGGACCTACGGTTTAAAGTGGATTCCGAACCACTACACACATCCATGGCACCGCCGGGACTCGAACCCGAAACCTGTGGTACCGAGGGCCAAAGCGCTAGCCACTCGGCCATTCAGGCCCCGTCATTACGAAAGTACCAGGGTGACTTCGTTAACATTCTGAGAGTTTTGTTCTCAAGCCTTTTGTATAATTTCAAAATGTGTACGTGTGACAGAACCCCAAACTGGGCTTGCATAAGCTAATACTGGACGAAGATAAGAGAGATATATTAGAATTTTGAGATTAAGAGGTAAAGCTGAATTTCTATTGATTAAAGCTTAGAGAATTCTAAAATTTCACTGTGAACAACAATTAGTAACGAGTTTTATTGAGGTAAACTGTAAATTTTGCTTAAATAGTAGTGTATAACTCATTAATTTATAATTTTATGGCTGGTTTCAGTTCAGAGGAGATTGGAGAAGATTCAGCTTGTTTTAGGATTCCTAGCGTGGTGGTCTAGTTAAAATTTTTAGATGACTCTTTGAACTTTTAAAATTCAAAATAATATCCTACAGGTTACTAATGAAACATTTTCGACAAATAATTATTTATTTATATCAGGGGTCTCTAAACTATGGCCCGCCAGTGTCATCAATCCGACCCGCGACAGCGAATAGCATATTGTTGCTATAATAAGTTGGATGAAAAAACACAGAATGATAATAACTCGATTTTATTTACTTGCCAGGTATAACTGAATGACAAGCAGCATAATACGCAGAAAATTTAGCTTAAGCATAACAGATAACAAATAATTGAAATGAATCCCACTAACATTATAAACTAGTGAATAACCCGCGGTTACCCTCGGTAGTTATGTTGGGCTAAAGAGCATCGCATATGTATGTATATCGATGTTTTGAATGTATAGATCCTGAATCAAGCATATGATTTTTATCCCGAAAATCCCTCAGGAACGGAAAAGCTAAATGAACGCGAATGAAACCGTGGGGTATCCACTTGTAAAAAAATACTAATGAAATTTATGTAATTGTAATTTGTCACTGACAATAGTGGATCAATTTTACTTGTAGCAATTATTAAAAGAGATTTAAGATGCTCATCGGTTAACTTAGACCTATAAACATTCTTTGTGTACTTCATTTTGGAGAATGAAGCGAATTTAGCAAGCGTATTCTTGCTCAGAGCGCGTACTCGGCAACTAAAAATTATAGATAATGGCAGACAAATTAAAACGGTTTTGGCCCTCGGTACTTACTGGAGTAAAAAGTATGGCCCGAGGACTGAAAAGTTTGGAGACCCCTGATTTAGATAATAAAAGGTGTTAAGGTTACCGACTAAGTTCAAATCAGACGAATGTTTGCCTGATTTTCGATTTTTGCGAAAAAACTCGATATAGCCAAACATTATGACCACTTGTCAATAACGAGTTGGCCCACCTTTGGCGCGCAACACAGCTTCAACCCGCCTTGGCATGGATTAATACCACCACTTAATACCAGTTAAATACCACTTCCACCTGATCACGTGCCTTCCACGTCATCCAGGCGAGTTCATTGCAAAATGTAGGGGTGGTCATAATGTTTTGGCTCTTGAGTGTATGTAATTTAAAGTTTTATTTTAAAGATGATAGCAAAATACTCACCTACATATATTCCGTGCGTCCCACTATCCCATACGTAAGTCCGGTTTGGGGCTCAGCAGCCAGAACAAATTTGGAACTTGTTCAAAGACTGGAAAATAAAGTTCTTCGAATGATTACACATTCGCCTTGGTACTTCAGAAATGAGGATATTAGAAGAAGAGAGTACCTTCCCAGTTTTAGACATTTCATATTTAATACTTCTGAAAAGTTTTATGACTCTATCCCTTTCACCTGTAACTCTGTTCTCAGATTCCTCCCAATGTATGGCACGACTCTGTTTGAAAACAGAAAGCTACCTAGAACTGTTCTCAATACCCTTAGTGTGTGTTCACTCCCTAATAACTTCTTTCTGAAGTGTCACAAAGCAAGTTGTGCTTGTTGGCAGCTCAGTCATCCTTTTCAATGTGTTAATTACGATTTCATATTTTTTTCCTCTTTTGCATATAACAGGTGGGCTGAAAGGTTCGTAGGCTGACACATAGATGGCGCTACTAGTATTAAATTCATATAATTTTTAGTTAGCCCTAACCTTCAAAAGACAC